CAGTCTCGAGCTTTAAATTTAAGCTCATGCAGTTTTTAGCACGTCTGCCAAATTTTTTTTGGGCATTACCTCCTGAATAAAATAATGGCTAGTTCTGTGAGGGCCGTGCTCGAAGCAAACTAGTTATGTAGTGGCAGAATTTAGGCGAAGTCAACACGGACTCCTGCACATGTCAAATCAGGAGTCCGACAAGAAATCGGGAGTATTTGACTCCGGACTCCGTTAATTTTCGCACCCTGCTGTTACTATATAGTACTAAACACAGTTCACCCTCTTTAATACTCCCCCGCCCTCACGGCTGAAACAACAGAGACCCTTTGACTGTTACTCCTGTTGAAAAATGTTGCAGGGAAGGACGATCGTTTGCCATCATTACTCACCGTCGGTCAACTCTTTACCGAAGATGATGAGCTTCGCGTCTGCCGAGGCAATGCAGTGAGAGAGCGATTCCTCTCTCAGGTTGAAGTTTATCAGCGCAGTTATGACTCCGATCTTAGCCAACCCTGCAAGAGGTTCGTTTCAACTAATTAATGAGAAAAAAAATCGTATTAAATTCATTTAGTGACGTGGATATATTTTGTGTGTGCATATCGTGTTGGAATACATCATAATCTATTATGATTTATTATATCCTAAATATATATATATAGGATATAATAAATCACAAATATAATATATATATATTATATCTATTATCTTATGACCTATAGGTAAGTTGGTACGCTCACTGTGAATTCACATGTGAACCGTTTCAATTGCACTCAAATATCCCCAATCGCCAAATCATCAACCAAACCATAAAAACCAAAAATCAAAAATTCGAACATCGTCAATGCGATCGGAAGTTCCTAAATCAATATGTGTCATTATTACAATTACAATTACATTTTATAACTAAGACAATTTGTCATTATTAACGCTGAAGGGGTCGTATATGTAGTAGCCGAGGTATCGGCGAGTATGTCGCCTACGCCTACTCCCTAACCCTAACCCTAACACCCTAACCCTAACCCTAACCATATCAAATAGTTACCTCGGGTACATATTATATGCCATTATACGACAACGACCCTTCGTGCATTATTAACCCCTGATGTAATGTGACGAGTGTAATGCGTAATGTGCATACCCAACCAGATGCAGATGTATTCTGGCCGGGATTCCATGAACAGGGCGATGACGTCGCCATGACGATATCCAGCTTCGTGGAAGTAATTGGCTATCTGGTTCGAGTATTCGTCGACCTGCAAAAACGATACGTTACAGCCGCATGGACATCAGAAGCTTCTTCTTCTTCATCTTCTTCGAGTCTGGATCTGGAATTTATCCGTTTAATTTATCACGTCAGAAGCAAACCCGTGAAATAAAGGATATTATGGCCTCGGTGTCGGTGCTAACCACACCGAGTCGTCAGCAACGGCTTTGGTCATGCAATGGACATTAAGTATCGAATACAGGCAAACATGTGTTGCTTCTTTATGAAGTTTGGTAGCAATAAATGTTATATAGCAGACACCTGCCTATTGAGGCCAATTTTGGCATTTCCCCCTGAGTGGCAGTAACACAGTGAAGTCAACATGCAGGCAGTTATACCACTCCGTGTACTCTGTATACCACTCTGTGTATTACACTGTATATACCACACTGTATACCACTCTGTATACTACCACACTGTATGTATACACCACACTTTATACTACCACACTGTATACCACACTGTATACCACACAGTAATACCACACTGTATACTACGCAGTTATAGAACGAACACGCGTCTACAAAGGAAACCCCTTCGCATCTCCTTCGAGTGATCCTCACACATCGACTGTATACTACGTAGCGTACCTCTCTGAACGTCATCGTCTCGTCCTGGTAGTAGCAGGCGATCTTCTCTGGGTGGGCCTGCCATGTCTTCTTCCACAGCGTGGGGATGCTGCTTCGCTGCTTGTAGAGTCGTCGCGCGTTCAGGTTAACGGTCAGGTACCTCTTCAGCGCTCTGCAAGTAGTAAGATATACTGCAGGGTGCGAAATTAATGCGAGACCGGAGTCAAATACTCCCTGATTTACTGTCGGACTCCCTGATTTGGCATATGCAGGAGTCCGTGTGACTCCCTAAAAGTTCTGCTATATACTAACAAGTTCGTTCTAGAGCACGGCCTTACGGAAATACCGTATTTTATTCCGCAATGTCCAAAGAAAATTTGGCAGACGTGCATCGCATGAATCTTCAAAATACGCACATGCGTTATTGTTGTTGTGCTTTAGTTTTGAACTTCAGACTGCGGACTCCCTCATTTTGCTACGCCGGACTCCCTCTTTTTGAGGGCAGGGAGTCCGTTGGACTCCCTTGTTCAAAAGTTAATTTCTATACCTGATACTGTATACGCTGTATATTTCGCGATGGTTTAATTTTCGCGAATTTCGCGAACGTGTCCCCGCCCGCAAAAATAACAACACGGGAATAATTCATACCGAATAATACCGAATAATCCATAATTCACCGACCGTGAAATTAGCCGCTTGCGAAATTGTCCGTCAAGTCTGAATTAACGAAAATATCTGTACGCGAAAAATATGGCGTATACAGTACGTTGCAGTGGCGGGCGCGTCCAGGCAGCGGCGCTCGTTAGTCGGCGCTCGCTAATTATCCTCGTGTCATTAATTAAACATCGTTAATTATCCTGTTGCTAAAACGGGGAATGTGGAGTCGGCAGGGGGCGGGGTGGAGGGGCAGCCAGCAACAAGGCAACACGACAGGGGCGGATCTAGGATTTTTGAAAGGGGGGTGTCCAGGAAGAAGTAAAGGGCGCTTTTTCCTGCTTAATTTTTCTGGCGTTTTAATAAGCTGCCGAAGGTAGCTTATGCGACGTCGCCACTTAGGTGGGGTTTGGGGGGCCTCCCCCAAGAATTTTTTTACAAATTGGTGCATTCTGAGAGCATCTGAGCAGTAATTATTTAGGGCACTTTGAAATTAAAGGGGGGGTTCGGACCACCGGACACACCCCGGGCCCCTAGATCCGCCCCTGCATGAACCACTCAATGGCGAACAAATCGACGGGCATTCAACAGGACTAGCGGTAACGAGAACGGACAGATGACATGATCCCGGATTACAAGGTGCGCTGCATGCAGGACCCCTGCGAGGACGGATGGCAATAACAAACGCTACGACATGCCAACACGCCTAGGATTACCGGATAAGTGGACCGCAGTGGTGGTAGAGGATCGGTGATTCGAAGGGGGATCACTTCCGCGTTACCAGACATGTACAGCTCTGGATATTTTTACCACGATGGCGCTTGGTTGACAGACACAGCAGGGTGCAAAATTAACCCGAGTCCGGAGTCAAATACTCCCTGATTTACTGGCAGACTCCCTGATTTGACATATGCAGGAGTGCGTGTGACTCCCTGAACATTCTGCTATATATACTAACTAGTTCATTCCAGAGCACGGCCTCGCGGAATTACCATATTTGTTCAGCAAATCTTTAATTTTGAACTTCAGACTACGGACTCCCTCAGTAATTTTGCTGCAGACGCCCTCTTTTTGAGGGCAGGCAGTCCGTTGGACTCCCTTGTTCAAAAGTTCATTTCTACCCATGCTGTCACAGACATTAGACGGATGCGCGGTTTAGAGGTATGTTGTACAGGGGACCCCCTAGCTGTCATAGAAGGGAGGTATTAGAATTATCTACAGTCCATGAACGGAACTGTAAAGTGGAGGCCCACATGCATTACTGCTAACAACATGCACCACTGATGTGTATTAATCCATATAGTCTACAGTAGCGTTAATATATACCCCCACATAACATAGGCAGCCTCCTGGTATATTTCGACCCCTGATATATAATATAATATAATATATATATATATATATATATATATATTATTATATATCAGGGGTCGAAATTCACTATATATAGTGATTGCGCAACACAAGTGATTTTCACCGAACGCAAGCGATGTTTCGTAGCAACTTGCGGCTGCCGCAAGTCAACAATATGCCGTATTTAGAAGTCACTTCAAGTCAGACCCATTTTATTTTTATTTCTGTACGAAATTGAAGCGTAAATGACTCTGAATCAGAGCAGGTAGACACAGAAGACATAGAATAAATCATAAACTAAAACAGGGAGGAAGGGAAGTACTGCCAGTTTGGAGAGCAACAGAGGTAGGTGCAAGTAAATATCTCTTGGTGCAAGTAATTGTTTAACCTAACTTGCGGCATGGGCAAGTGTGTTTTTTAGCGAATTTCGACCCCTGTATATATACAGGGTTATATATAATACAGTCAGTAAACCACCCCCACCCCATCCCGCACTGCAGCTCTAGGAAATGTTTGTGTATGGCAAGACCCACAGACAACACTGTATTATTCCTACAGCTGCCTCGATGCCACATGCACCGATGACACTTTTCACACATCTCACAGATCATGACATCCCTGAACCACCCATACTACAGTCACGAGCAACGGCTCCAACCAATCGCAGCACGGATTGTGGGAACATATCCGAGGCTTTCACGCATAGCGAGAGATGATGGTAAAATGAGTATCATCTAAGAATCACCATCTATGCTCAATCCCAGTTTGGGACCACGGCCCTCATTTTCGCAAATGTGCTAAACTAATGACAGACAGGATTCTTCTTCAGGGTGTTGCTTATTCACATCCATCACGAAATATGGGTACCATCTACGGACGAAAAACACGGGTTTCAAAACCAGGGTCCAAACCCCTGCTTGGGCCAATGTCTGTAGTACTGCACGTGATAGCTCTAGTACTATAGCCCACGTACAGTTGCCACTGCCAGCCTGGTAGCACTGGTAGCACTGGTAGCACCAGCCTGGCAGCACTGGTAGCCAGCGGCAACTGTACGCGGGCTATAGTACCAGGAGTAAGATAATATAGATATATAAGATCTATATTATCTTACTCCTGATAGTACTAGAGCCACAGGCACTTGGATCGTCTCAATAAAAAAAATAATGGTAATGGTAACGTTGCGTGTTACGTGCTGCGGCGGCTGCAGTGCAGTGCTGTACAGCTCAGGTGCAATACTGCTTGTACAGGAAACACGAGTATTACAAAATGCTCATCTGCAACACACAAGTACACCGAACGCCCGCCCGCTCTGTGCTGTGTGCACAAACAACATGATGAATAAGAGAGTTCTCAAAATGAATAAGAGAAAAAAAATTTTTATTGAGACGTTCCAAGTGCCTGTGACTAGAGCTATGCACGTGATAGCTCTAGTACCTACTATAGCCCGCGGATAGCTGCCGCAGGCAGCCCTACATGCTATAGCCCTACTATAGCCGGCCTGCGGCAGCTATCCGCGGGCTATAGAGTATATAGCTCTAGTACTATAGCCCGCGTTCGATTAACTGCCGCAGGCCTGCGCGGAGGCGTTTCAATAAAATATAATGCCTAAAATTAATATACGAAGATCTATTTATTACAGGCAAGTTTTCTACTCTCTTCTCCTATTATTGCCGGACAATTTCTGCAATTCTGTCCAAATGCTCAATCTGCCAACACACTGTCAAACGCTGGCCACCGCACGCTGATAGCTGCTGCCACACGGACACATAATATATAATATATTTATGTCGTCAGCAGGCGAATAATTTTCCCGGTAATCGCATGCGCAATCGCGATTATTTTCAGCCATTTGCTACGCAATTTTTTTATGGAATCGCAGTTGTGCCGCAGTGCCAGCCCATGCGGATTAAACGGAAACATACATGTTTACAATTTACTTTTATTGCTCGGGCTGCTTTGCCGCGTCAATTGAAATGCCACTTACGCCGCATTTTATGATTTGTTACCCCCGGCAGCGTGCGAATCGCCTAGTGTGTCCTAGCTTAAGCTAGCTGTGCTGCTCACAGGCAGGACACGATAACACGCCAAGCATGCACTGCGGTGTAAATTTGCACGGAGATGTCTGAAAAAATGCTATACCACAATTTATACAATTGCTATGCAAATTTATTTTGTATAGCACATTTGCTATGCATTTTATGGTGGAAAATTGTTCCCTGGTCAGTGGTGCATGCAGCTACCGTGCGGTGTACTTGGGTGCTGCAGATGGAGAATTTGACGGGATTTACAGGTGATTATAGGTGAAATAGAGTAGAGAAACATTAAGACTTTGGTAGTAAATAGATTTCGTGTTTATTTACCATTATATTTTTTTATTGAGACGTTCAAGTGCCTGTGCGCGTACAGTTGGCCGCGGCGTGCACACTGCAGTTGCCGCACGCTGCCCAGCAACTGCACGCGTGCTATAGTACTACTCTACTACTAGAGCTGAGAGGGTCTATGTCCCCCAGGGTACTGCCGGAACGTAGCCCTGGGTAGCGAATCCGTAATACGGACGTACCTGGTACTAAATTACTATACTATAGTACTATCTAATATGGCCGAGACTGTACCCTCCTACTCCACTAACGAGTCTAGGAGTCGCCTACGCTACTCCCTAACCCTAACCTAACCCTAACCATATCAGCTAGATAGTTAGCAGGGTACCCAGGGTACGTTCCGGCAATACCCTGGGGGACATAGACCCTATGAGCACTACTAGAGCTAGGTTATTCAGTGCTGAAGCTAGGAAATTGTTGTAGTCTGCATTCAGGATTCAACATAAACCGACCAGGCTCTCCGACTGTTACACGGCGGAGGAGGCCTCTCGCCACGTAGTGTTAAGCGAGAAGGGAACTTGTGGCTAGGTTCAACATAATCTGTTTCGTGTTGATATTTATAGAATCATATGATACAGGATTTTCTATTGGGGGTTACAGTCAAGGATTGATAAAAATTTGTAACCAAACACTGTGACCCTACCCTGTCCTGGTCCCTGGATGATGGATGATTTTGTCCACCTCAGCACTGCACCTGGAGGATGGACGAGGACCGCCCCTCACATTTCTATGCCCTCTTCGGTCTCCTATAGGCTATACCTCTTTAATTCTATGCGTATAAAATACGTTGTTAGTGAAACCATAGGCACCAACATATAAAAACAGAAATACACTGAAAATAGGTATTGCTTCAGCTCCGACTACACTCCTAATCCTATGCCCTAGTGTGGTGTGGGTGTGTCACCAATCGGTGAATCGGATGATCGACTCTTCCCGTCATTCTAGAAAGAGTTCTATCTATCTAGAGCTGTTGAATGGTCCGAGGGTTCCCGATTGGGTGTGTCACTAGCACTGATCTCTATAATATATATATATCTATATATATCTATATGATAATATTATAGAGATCAGTGGTCACTACTCTAGTAAACAAAAATCAAAATCACGTCTGACGGCGAACAAGAGAACAGCTCGGAGTACACCGATATCCGGAGGCATTAGTTTGTTTACAATGCGTTTTCAACGTAGGTCAAGGACTACAACAATTTCAAATCACTTACATCATTTTGCACTGTTTTGAACCACAGATGGCGTAGGAGATATATAAGTCGATAAGAAGGCGATGGGCCGCCTCTACTCTACTAGTACTAGTAGTACGACGTCGTTCATGAAATCAAAGTCGTCTGCTCTCGCTGGGCTCGCTGCATCGCCAGGACAGTTCACAGAACGAGGAACAGCAAGACGATGCTCAAACTCGCGATATTTGCAAGCGTAGCTGCTGTGCTGTGGGGATATTTCTCAGCCCCCGTCTGGCTATGCCTACTTGCCGTCTTCGCTCTCTACCTGGCGAACGGTGGGTGGAGGTTTACGAGAGCTGTCGTGTTAACGTTGCCCCGCGATCTAAGGTAAGCCATCAAATTCAAATTCAAATTCAAATT